GCCGTCAAGAAAGCTCTTGTAGCTGTTAGTCTTTCAGAGAACTTCAGCCCAGCTTGCACATTTTGCTGACTGGCCTCCTGTAATCGCCGTTACTTTAGTGGTGATGATATACACACGCTCATGCACACACTGTAGTTTTGTGAGTTTCTTGGATCTATTATAATCGAGTCCATAAATAACTGCTTCTGATGCACTTGACTAAAGAAAGTAATTGCTGTTTAAATGGGTAATTTATTGTGTGCTAATTAAATGCCCAGTACGTGAGAACATTTTAATGAAAAGTAACTTAACTCAATAAGCAGGTTTTTAATACTTGTTAGTTGCCTGAAATGCATTTGATGCAGGAACCCTGTAATGACAAGCTCTAGTTGATAGTTTTAAAGTATATTTATTGTGAATAAATAGCTACTTCATTGCATACATCGCTTTCCCTGTCTTTCACATGCACAGCTTCCCAGCTGGGAGCCCTGTTCTGCTTTATTTTAGTCTGTTCTTCCCTGCTTTTGAAACTCCTCTCCAGTGTGCTGGTGAAATAAGCTCAGTTACAGCAGCATGAAGCAGGATATGAGCAGAGGTAGGGAGTTGATGGCTTCTTCAGAAGAAAAATTTCTGGGATTTTACTTCAGCTGACAATCCAGCTTTAGGTTTTGTGATAATACTGGGTTCAAGTCCAACAGAAGTCTGTTTTCTTACACAGTCAGATTTACAGTGTAAGCTAGAGAAACCCTTGGAAGCTCAGCTTCCTCCAGAGATAGAACCCAAATTAACAGGGCAGGGCAGTGTCTTTTCTGTAGACATCCTTACAACTCACAGATCCCAGAGCCACAGATGGTTCCCGTTGTCTCACATCCCAGAAGAGAAATAGATTAAAATTAGGGTTCCTGAATTAGGAATGTTTGGATACATGGATATCGTCCTCTGGTGATGGTATACAAGCAGAGATGGGAACCCCCTATAACAGTTTCTCTTCTGAGCAATGTGCAATGTGCCAGACGTTGGCTTGGAGTAAAATGAATATGCAGAAAAAATGATAAACTGGAATGTCCATCATTAATGAATTTCATTTGCAATGAAGGAATCTGAGGACTGGAAGCTGGAAAGTGGATGTGCTTCAGCGATGCAGCAGTGTGCCAACTGTGTTTGAATCAAATATCCTGGAAGGAGTTCGAACTGGGAACAAGTAGTATCGGATTTAAGGACTGGGGGAGTAGACAGCTGATTTTCTTTCTTGTCAAAAATATTATGAGAAAGCCTGTACTGACCTTTCCTAAGTACTCTCTTGCTGTTCATCTTCACACATCTTCATTTCACTGTGTTTTTTTCTGGTGTCTTTTGCCATCACTGGGCAATGACTGTTCTTACTTTTTTGTGAACTTAAAGAATGATCTTCTGAGACCAAAATGAGCGGTGGACAGGCAGTGGATCTGTCAGTAGCTCTGGTGGGGTGGGAGCAGCCATTAATAAGTCACTACCCTTGCCTGGACCTCTTTTTTCCTTATCTATGTGGTGGAGTTAACCATGAATATTTCCTTCATGAATATCATTTGGTATTTCCTGATGAAGAATCCTATATATGTTATAAGTGTTCATCATTTTTATCACTCAGGCACTGATTTAGAAATTTCTGGAGTACTCCCACATGTTGAGAATCACACTTATCCTGAGGACGAGAATATTAAATTCCAGTGCTGAACCTGGATAATTTGACAATGATATATTTTTCTAGGATAATGCCTCAAATAGATCTTATATAAGAAAATGAATTGCATTTATAACTAGAAAGACCCACAGGATCATATGATCTTACCTGTTTCACTCCAGCACTCCTGCATTTAGTGAAGCATCTTGTGTTTGAATACAGTAGGGTTTCCAGAGAGACATTACATCTTCCTGTTCTGTTGGTCATTTGTACCAATGATTAATCACCTGTTGACTTAAGTAAAACTTTTTGTTTCCTGGTGTTTTATCTTTTTTACAGGAGAATACCTAAATTCCTGAGGAGGTTTTCTTTTTTCTTTTTTTTTTTTTTTTGTGGGGTGGGTGGTTGAGTCTTTCAAGTCTAACGGTCCATCAGTCTTACAACTTCTTGTTTCCTGTTGCTGAAAGGAGATGCCCATAATTATTTAATTAAGAAAGTTGCTGAGATAAGTCCTTTAGGGATTTGATCTAATTAAGATGGTGCTTTTTCAGTGAAGAAGCAAAAACTTTAACAACACGTACTACCCCAACAAATTATCCAGCTTGACTTTTCAATAGTCACTACTAACTGGAAAGAAGAAATCATGACATGTCAACAGAGTAAGCTTGAATGCTACTACCATAATCTGCTCATAGTCATACATCATAATTAAAATTTATTGTACGTGTGGGCTTGAAAGGTTGTGTTGAGAAGGTCCACTTTCAGTCCAGGTTTTATTAATCAATGAAGAAACTTATGAAGGTCTCAGAATAGCATTCACAGAGCAGGAAGCCAACTTAAGGCAAGAAAGAGGAAACAGTGGGCAAAACCTGACACTCAGACCACTGGATGTAGCCTGAGTTGTCAGAATAAAGAAAACAATAAGGCCAGATTTGAAAAGACTAAGCTAATGCCTTTTATGCAACCAGCTAATGGAGCTTGGAAACAAAAGGACGTGTTTTCCAATATGCAAGTACTTCTACTGTCAAAGAAATCAATAAACTTCAAGTTTAGCCCAACCTGTGAACAAACTACTCTAATGTTTAACTTATGATAATCACCTGGCCAATTAGGCAGAGAAAAGGTTAACTCCTTAGCAATAGAGGAGCATCTGGAGATGCCAGCAAAAGGTCATGAGCTAAGGACCCTCTGTAGGCCAGGCTGAGGGAAGGGGAAGCGTGGAGAGAGCTCTTGGGAAAGGGCAGGTGGGGAGGCTGTGCCATCAAATCGTGGTCTCTGCTGGCTCCGTGGGTTTTAGTGCCTGGGAGAGTGCTGAATTTCAGTTCCCAGGTATTTGATTAGTCTCCTTTGGTGAGACTGGTAGATTAGGACTCCGGGAACTAATTGGCAGACCTTCAGCTAATTATAAGCAAAAAAGCAACAAACCGATCCCCCAAAACCACAATGGAGATTGATTAATTCAGAAATGTCTCATCACAGAATATGAAGAACACTTTTTTTTTTTCCCTTCCTCTCAGCTGCAGTTTCCTACTTTAAGTGTTAGGGAAGAAACTGTAAACTTGTCTGAATTACAAGCAAAACTGTCTGCCTCCTCCCAAAATGGAAAAGAAAGTGTTTTCTAATGCTTATACATTATATAACACATAAGCATATATCATTTAAAAGGACATTAGCAACTTGACTTATTTCCTCGTTTTGGAGATGATGCATTAAAAGTGAAAATGCCACTGCTGCAATTTTCCTCTTACATAAAGCAGATTTGTGTCCACAGTGCCTGTGCTCAGATCTTCAAGACTGGTGTGCTGGAGAAGCAAAACCTGCTTGACAACCAGTAGATTTCTTTGCTTGCCATCAAAGGCCATTGTAAAAGGGTTTTGGGCAAATAATGGCAGCACATAAGGAGCCTGGTGGGTTCTAGTCCCAATCTTGGTCCTGTGCCCTGGCTGGAACAAAGACCCTGTTTGCATGGGTCTTTTGTTCACTGGTGATCCAGTTCTAGTAAGCAGGCAAAGCTGCTCTCACTCCTGTCCCTTCTGTACGGCAGAGATATGTTAATGCAGTCAGTGCATGCATCCACCCTACTCTTGATTTACACACCTCTGAAATATCCTTAACATCGAGAGGAAATAAAAAAACAGGTGTCATGGAAGGTCCAGCTTGACAGCTGAAAGACACCCCATTTATTCTCTTGCACAAAGGTATTAACTACAAAAGGTCTGTTGAGTTTGATTTGCAGAGTCTTTTACAGTCCAGGACCTGGAGCAGTAGGTTAATGAGAGATGCTGGGAAGGAAATACCATGTAAGAACCATCTGCAAGGCATAGAGAAGTTTTATTACAGCTACTAAGCCTAGAAAACACATAACGTCCTAGATTACAAGGTATAATTAATGTGATCAACTACTTACATTTTTTTTCATATCAATTCCATGCACAGAAAAACATTTTGTACTTTCTGGTAAAGATTTCCAAATGACTCTCCAAAGAAAAGGATTTGTTCTTTTTTTTTAAAAAAATTTTTTATTTTTTTGGTCTGTTGCCTTAGGGTTGGTTGCCTCTCACAATATTAGAGAAAGGAAAGAATTGGCTGCTTTTCTGGGTATTGTAAGTACAAGTACACATTCAGAAATGATCCGCACTAGGAGACTTGCAATTTTAATTTACTTTTCACCATTGGTGTGAATCTACCTCAAGAATTTTCTGTAAAGAGCTGTGTACCTCATATGAGTCCCTATTTGTATCTTGGTCCACAGAAAGGGATATAATTCTTCCCCAAGCACCCTTTGATTCCTTTGGAAATACAAGTCGAAGTGTTATTTCTTCAGCAGGAGAGTGGGCTCTGGGTAACTGCACTGACAATGGCTCATTATAGTGATGGAGTTCAGGGACACCTTCCTAGTGGAGGGGATGGGTGACCTCCTGGGGGCTGGACACCCTTTGCATGCTGGCCATCCTCAGGACATGCCTGCATTTACTGACCCAAGTGTCTTCCAGCTCTCCAAATGGGATGGCATGTCTCCATGCAGATCCTTTTCATATATGTGACTTCAAACAGGCGCCAATGCCATCACCACACCTCAGCTCTTAGCTGTTGTCTGGCTGCTGCCACACTTCTTAGCCCATGTGTTGAGATCCTTGCATAAATGTTCCTCATGAATTACAAGAGGTAATAACAGATGTGAGTCTTACAGAAATAAAGCTAATACTGAGGCTTATGGCTTTCTTTTCAGTATGCTTTTGGATTTAAATTTTATGGCGCAGAAATCCCAGAGAGGGGAAAACACTATTCCTGCTCACAAACATGATGTGTTTGTCTCAGCCTGCTGTTTCCAGCTGCAGGTCTCTGCAGCTGAGGTGGGACTCCAGCAGCTGCAGAACCTGCGGACACAAATACCACGAGCTGTGCTGAACTGAACAGCGAGAAGATGGCCATATATATTTAGCGTGGAAGCTTTGGATTCATGGTAAGTCAGGTCTCTTATTATTGTTTCATCATAATTTTTGAGCTTCATATTTAATTCAGGTCAAATCTAAACTACTAAACAGAACTGTTATGCAGCACACATATCAGACAAATGAAGTGTGGGTTTAGCTTAGCTCTGACCTAGTTACTTCATGCAATGTTTTCTAAAAGGAAAAATTAAAATCTCTTATCTGAACAAGAAACTAGTCTTTGTTCCCCTGACTGCTGAAACATTTTGCATACATTTGGTTTCAAAGACTGATGAAATTTACCATTCTAAATCTTTCACAGGTATCAGAAAGCCTTGTCTTTGCGGGTAACCCAACCCAACAGTGCATTGGAGAGAAGAATGTCTGCTATCAGAGGTGTGCAGAGCAATCCTGACACTTCAGATGGCAGAAAGACAGGACTAGAGTTGGTAGATATTAATAAAACATTTAAAATAGCTAGTTTTTTAAAGAGTAATTCTATTTTTGTCAGTGTTTTTAAAAACAATAGAGAAGCTGTTGGCAGGAAAGAAGAGGCAAACCAAAGAATGAAATGCCAAGATGTTTGAAGGACTCACAAATTCAGATGTGCTTTTTCTAAACTTTCTGAAATAAATACATATTTCCTACCATCTATATCTCTTCTTTCATTTATTTATATATATATATATATATATATATAAATTGTGAGTCTGAGTGAGAAAGAAAAAAAAGGTTGTTAGAATTTCTTTAATTGTTAATTTAAATTTCAATTTACATCCTTTTTAAAAAATAGATTCATTCTGAATTTGAAAAATCCATGAAATAGCTATGGGAATTTTTCAAGTTTGTAATCAAACATATTTTTTAGTAATTAATTTTCATTATGTTTGATTTTAGAAAGCCTGCCAGGTTCTGATTATTATGATTACAATGTGAAAAGTGAATGTAAAATGAAAGTGATGAAAACCAAATTGGAACATTCTGTATTCAACCCCCCTCCTGAGCTATTGAGAAAATTGTTTAATTAAAACCCTGATTTTAGAGAAATAGCTGGGTTTTTTTGTTATGAAAAGTTTTTGACAAATTGTCAAATAGCTGTATTAATAAGTGCTATGAGGCAGTTACAAGGTAGCGAGGCACTGCTTGTTACTGCCTTGGCAGGGAAAATGCTAATACCCTAATGGATTGATTTAAGACGTGCCATGTAATTTGTAACACTTCAAGGATGTCCAGCGAGTGCATTTACCGGGAATATAAATGGGAGCCGGAATGAAGTGCTGAGCTGGGTGGAGGGGATGAGGATTGAGCCATTCCCATTAGGTGAGTTACTGGGATTCTGCACTCATCGCAGAACTCTCTGTTGCTTTTCAGGACACCAGTGTGTAACAGTGCAATTTAATATTTTCCAAAGTTTCCATTCCATGCCTTCTGCTTGGTGAGGCTCTTTCCCATCTTCTTTTTTTTTTTTTCCTTTTCTTGCCATTTTCCTCCATTCCTCTTTTATATTACCTGCTTCTTTCTGACACTCTGGAAAACACAATCCTTGTTGCTCCAGTGTATCAAGCACTGAAAACTGAAACCACACCATGGTTCATCTCTTTTATCTATTATTTAGAAAGGCAGGCTTTTGAAAGCAATGAGCATTGTTAGACATAAAGACTGCTGGATACCTCATCAGACAGCACACTTCAGACATGTACCAGCTCAGGAATACTATGGTGGCAGGATAGCTATTGCACAAGTCAAAGAGAGAAAAAGCAGGTTGTTCAAAGTGTAAAGCCCATGAAATCTGTCCTGGGTCTGTGCTCTGTGGCCCATAGTAACTTCTGTTTGTGTGAGGGACTCATCGCTTTTTCTTTAAAAACAGAAAGGAGAAAGAAACAAAACACTTTCTTAAAGAAAATACATCATTACTTGAGTCATAACTACAACTAGTGCAAGGTTATTTCTATGGTACAACTTTATCCAGATTTACCTGCTTCCTAAAACTTTAAGGGGACAGTCAATAAAGAGCTCATGAGCAATTGCTGCTTCTTCTAGTTTAGACTGAGACTGGCACTTATAAAGCTGTGATCTGAGGAGGAAGGTCAGAGCCCTACCTCATGTGGTACACCATGGTTCCTCGTCTCCTCTTACTCCCAGGAGTACCAAAATGTGACTGCGGCCGCCTCCTTATGCCTAACCATCACTTGCTGTCATGGATGATAACAGCTCTTGGAGAGAAGTTCTTCAAAACTTCGCCCTTTTCTGAGCTTTCTTCATCATGTACAGAGCTGTAAAAACCCGTCCCAACCAACAGCAACCAGACATGAGCAAAGCATTGCTTGTGAGTGTTTCATTATTTAAAAAGTTGAAAAACTGTCTAACTCCTCACCTTAGCAAGGTGTTCTTAGACTGCTGACATTATTCCTTCTCATTTTGAACAAGGCAGAACTCCACAGAGAATATACAATTTCCCAAGTGGTCTCTTCAAATCTAGTTTTATTCGAATGCTAAATTTGAGTAGAAGCCAAGTTGTCGTAATTACTTTTCCTTGGCTCCCTCCTCATACTTCCTTCTGTAAGTCGGAGGCATGTCCAACTTGGATATGAAGGGGAAAAAAAGAATAAGAGCAGACTGAGAGCCTACTTCATTGCAATTCTGCTTTGGCTTCTAGCATTTGTGGCTAATACTTAGAAATTAGTCAAGTTGGATTTTTACACTTCATGTGTGATTATTCTGGGCATAATTCTATTGTCACTCATGCAAAGCTAAATACCGAAACTAATGGGGTTATATGAAAATAAAACTGATGTAAATGAGAAGAGAATCAGCCCCCCTACGGATACGAGATCAGATTACTACCACACTTTTATTTACACTAAAACTCCTTTATACCACTCAGAGTTTCAAAAGTGGTTTAAAATTGGTGGAACAGTGATATCCACTCATTTTAAGATGCTTTTATCTCCCAGAACAGTAGTAAAGGCTTTAGTGTGAGTGTGAATAAACTTCCTTGTCAACAGACACAAACTGTTGTAAGGCAAGTGGGAAGACGTCGCAGCTCTAAGCACTGCCACAACCCTCCCTGGTGCTGGGTGCATCGCGTCTGACTCCACTGCTCCCTTCCTGCCCTGGAGCCAGCACCTGCACCACGGGCTGAGCACTTCTCAACATGATGTCAAACATCAGTTGTTTAGCTTCTTGCCACCACCTCCCAGTGCTGATCTTGCTGTTGGCTTCTGTAGGAATTGCTGTCTGAGGGATGCTTAGTTGGGTCATCTCCTTCCAGCCTTGCACAAGTAGAGAGGTGCAGAATTGTCTCCGGGAAGGTTAATTCAGGTAGATCACATTTCTAATCTGGTTTTGCTAAGAGGTGCATAGCGGGAGGCAGAATTTTTCCATCCCATGCTGGAAAGCCTCCAATTAATGAATAACTGATATTGGAGTGTGTCCAACTGGTACTGGATGAAATGACAGTGAAACATCTTCCCTCTTCTCGAGTGGGGAGTGGTGTGTTGTGCGAGTCTGTATCTGTCTTGCATCGTTCACTGCAAGGCAGGAGGGAGGGATATCACGTGACTGGACTGAATCTAAGGCACAGAATCAAGGTACCAAGACAGATTTGCTGAATTCATCAGATGAAGACATCCTTCAGCTGTTGGCCAACAGGATTTGCTGTGTGTCCAGGTCTGCTTAGAGCCAGCAGAGAGTAAAAGCAGAGCAGGGAAGAGACTCTTGTTGGAGCACCGAGAGTCTCAGGTGGAACATGCAGCTGCTCCAAAGTTGTTCTTGTGGTTCTTGGTAAGAAACTATATAGTCAGATTTATTTTAAAATCTCCCAAATCCTTCTTTGCTTTGATTCTGTGTATAAAACTACATAACTCTTGGATAATGTGCACTGCTATGTTGAATCTTGAAATTTAGTGGTAAAATGAAATGTCAGATAAGGAAATTGTAAATCCTGCGGTCTTAAAAGTGTCTGAATGAAAAGCTGAAACAGCTCCTCATCTTCCTAAGGAGCAGCCAGGTTAGATGATAGTAATGGTCTTTCCCAAACAGATGATGACTCTGACTCTGACGTTTTGTATGCAGTGTACTGGGACCCCACCCCTGACCTGAATGCAAGATAAGGGGAATGAAATGGTTTAAGATGCTTTCTCTCACCTTAAGGAGCCTTTCTAACCCCCAGATATCACTGGGATAAATAACTAAGGTGAACGTGTCATGGGCTGGCAAATAAGGCTGCAGCTCTGATGTATTTGTAAGGGCTGTGTCTGTATTACTTCAGTAAAGCATCTAATAAACACTGTCATTTTAAGGACTGCACATCAAAATTGCTTAAGTACGAGATGGGCACCAAAAAAAAATCAAAACTGGATAAACACATGTGACACTGTAAATGCTTGAAGCGTAATTATCTGTAGTAGTTTAACAAACTCTTTACACAGTATTTAGAAAAAGCAGCTTGTTTACACACCAAGTTCAGCATTAAGAGCTATGCTGTAATTTGTTCTTTGAAAACGCGGTACTGCATGCCTCTGATTTTATAATCTGTTGACTCAAATCACAGACTGTCAAGTACATTTGAAGATTATCCATGTTTGCATGTCAGATTATGTTTTTTAGGAACACAGTTTATATTTATTCTTAACTCCGCTGATGATTTTCTCAGATTTCTGCCATATGCTATGCATCACAGGTGAGTATTTTGCTGTCTTAAAATTGGACAGCTCTGTATCCAGTTTAATAGTTCTGTCATCTCAGCACTGCCATTAGCACTGAATTACAAGAGTCGATATTTAAGTACCAGATTATGGCATCAAATATTTGTTAAAATACAGATAACAAGGGCAGACATTTTAAGAAGACTCAATAATACTTTAAAAACATCAGTCAGTCAACAAAGGCATAAAGACTGATTTAGTGACTAATTAAACAAAGTTTGCTGGATGTTTATGTCTACCTAGCTAAACTGCAGTTTTATGCATCTATCTCACTGTGGGCTTTATGCATAATTCACAAAAAAAAAAAAAAAAAAAAAGGTGTATAGACAATATATTTAATGAACAGTTTTAATGGTTTGAAGATTAAAAACAGAGGAAGATTTGTAAACCTATATTCAGAAAGGATGCAGATATGTTCTGGTGCATACATTAAACACTAGCTGGTTCGCCAATGCAGTTTATGCAAAATAGAGGTAATATATAGTACTGTGCAATGTTAATATTGATCAGCTCTTTTGAAACCACCTTCCTGTTCTGCTGAAGGTAAGCACCTGCCTAAGGTTCAGAGACCCAGAAAAAATAAGCGGGTGGTTAGATAAATACTATGAAAAATACAGCTTTTTAAACTCTAAAGCCAAATAAATACATACTGCTAAATGATAACAGTGATTTAGTTTCACCGTTTTCCTGTTGTAATATCACCAGCCCATCAAAGCGGTGAAATTTAAATCCCCTTTAAAACGGGGATTATTTATGTGCCTGAAATGACACACTTTATTGGATTAGAACCACAATTCCAAATATGAACCCTATTTGAACAATAACTGCAAGTTCCTTCTTACTGGCAAAGCAGCCTTGTTTCTTCGTTGGTTTGCTTCCAACATTTTTTCCCTCCCTCCTCTTTATAAACATTTCTCTTTTAACATATCTCCAGTACTTGAACCAGGAGTAATCCAAAAAACAGAGAAGAGTTTCAGTCAGCAGGTGGGAATTTATGTTCCTTTATCCTTATAAACACTGCAACCCATAACCAAGCATCAGAAGTCATCGTTCAGTCTGTTTACTTTCACACTCTGATTTTTAACCTGTTATGAACATTTAACTCATGTGAGTGAACATTTTTTCATGGAAGCGGTTCTTCTCTCTGACGCATTAAAGTTGTTAACTTTTCTTTATCTTTGCTTGGGAAGATTTATCTGCCCATTGCTCACAGGCTGCTGGGCAATGTCCAGCCTCTTCATCCATGGGAATGTTGTGCTGATTAGAAAACTTGCAACACCTTGCACATGATCTTTGTCTAATCAACTTCAACAAGGCTCTCCCCTAACATTGCCAATGACATCTAAATATTCACTGTTCAGGTTTTCAGGTCATACTCATCATTGCAGCCTGCTTTATGCAGATCATATCTATCCCAATATAACATGGAAATGGAGAAGGGGAGAAGCAGGAGCAAGAAAGTAAAGATCAGTGTGCAGCATTACTGCAGTCTCCTTTCTTCTGGGCAGATTTGGTAGGTGAGTGATGAGGTTATTAACTGCAAAATTCAATCCGGAGCCAACTGACATTTCATGTGAGTCAGAGCTAGATCTGGCAGCACGGTGGGGCAATATATTTGCAATTAGCAAATATTTTAATGTGCACTGACATGTCCTTCAATCAGATGCTCTCCCAGCCTTTCCTGTTTACTTTTCTGTGAAGGTTTGTTCTTGTGAGAAGGTTTTTCTGAGCAGATTTCTCTATTGGCAGGAAGGTGATGGAATAGCAGCTTCTGTCTGTGTTCAGATCTCAAGGACACAGGTACTGACAGACATTGCACCTCCCAAGTAAGCCCTCCTCTCCTCTAAAGCATCCCGTATCCAGGCTAGCACAAGGATCAGCACTGCGTGACCGGGACAGCCCAACCTTTGCGGCAGCTGAATTTCTTTTGAGGAATTTCTTTTGAGGAAGATGTGAGTGAGAATCTGAATCTCTTCAACCATTTCTCTGCTGCACTGTTGGTATACCATTTTTTCAGAGCATTCAGAGAAGTAAAAATAATTGTGAATCAAATCCACTTCTGCATAGTTCACAGAGAATAATAAATCTGTGTGCTAAATATAATAAATATAATAAAATAACTTGTACCTAAGTGAAAATAATAAACTTGCAATCTTGAATTAAATAATATCCTAGTTCCTATAAACTGTGTGATTGAGAAAAAAAAAAAAAATCTTTCGGTTTCTGAGCTCCTCTAGTCCCATACTGCAAGGATTAGTCCCAAGAAGGTATGTAGCAGTGGATTGTCTTTCCTGGACGTGGCTCCCATGGAGGCTTCCAGGTCCTGGCCAAAGCAGTAGGGCTTTTCCTTGGGGGAAGAGCGGCTCTGGAATATTTTGCACTGGCCATTTTTATGATGCCACCTAATGCAGTTGTGCAGGGGGAAACTGTTCAAGCTCACATGTTTTGATTTCACTGTTTTTCCTCGCTATGACTCTTTTTCTTTCCAGTTCATTTTTCTGTTTGGCTTGTTAAGCTGCTGCTTTTCCTGTACCAGGACAGGCTGCACACTTTATTGATTAAGCTGCCTGGTTTTCTCTTTCAGTGACATCCTTCAGCTGAATGTGTATCTGTTTTGCTGAATCAGCTGTGTATTGAAACGCTTGAGGGTTCAACTATTCTGTCTGAGCTGCATATTTGGATTAATCTTCATGTGCTTTTTTTGCTTGTTCAGCTGGCTACTACCTTAGCCAAGTAATTCTGGAGGGTGGAGGGTTTGCACTGCCAATTTCATTTCTGACTTGGAAATGTATTCTATAAAAAGAGTTCTAGCCATTCATGGCTGCAACTGTATATTGTTGGAGTTAAATGCCTTTTAAAAGGAAAAAAAAAAATATTTGTAACATTTGCAACCTACTATCAGGAATACTGGGAGGGTTCCCAGCCTGGAAGCTAAACATAAGTAATTGGGAGCACAATCTGAAGCCCAGTGTGTGTGTGTTTGTGTGTGTGTGTGTGTAGAGGTTCAGTTTAAAGAGAGATTTAAGATCTGTTCATTCACTGTCTTTAGCATCTGTGAAAGCTGGAAAGCCAAGTACACGGCCTAGCAAAGGGAGCACGGGTGCAGATTCAATTGCATTTCAGGCAAGCGGTATATTGCTATGGCAGTAGCTTCCCTCAGAATTGAAGCCGAGGTCACAGGTAACTCTGTATATTTGTTTATTTTCACTGGAGAGAGATCCCAGACTTTAAGGGATGCTTTGCAACGCAGACCCAGAAATGCTAACCGCCCCAAATCCTAATTAATTCTAGTCACAAACCCCATGGTTTTTCTCTAGCCACTTCCTGCTCTTGGCATCGAGCTCCTGTTTTGAGACCTTCCAGATGCAGCTGCAGATGCCTCTTCCTCAAGACAAATTAGCACATCTCTTGGGAGGGAACAGACTACAAGTAACGCACAAAATAAATGATAGTATGGACCCTGGGGAGAAGAGTGAGCTCCATTGCCAGCAAAGATATGATACTGCAGCTCAGTGCTGGTCTTAAAGGAGTGTCCTTCCACCTTCCTCATCCTCTTCTCTTTAGACATCAGCCAATGCCTGAAGTCACCTGAAACAGCTGTGGCTTCCTCAAGTCTTTGATGCAGTTGATGTTCCACATACCCTCTGGGGGCGGCCAGGGGTGTCTTTATGGAGCATAGCTACAGGGAACTGCTCACGGGCACCTTAAGCTGGATATAAAATACCATATGAACAGATTTAACGTCTCTATTCCTAAAACTGCTTTAATGTCTACCTTGTCTCCAGTTGCTCATCATGTAGAATCATCTAGAAAGTTCTTGAAGTCACAGGAATAGGTGAAGAGCTGCCTGACTAGAACTACAGTCAAGTGTAGAGCTGCCAAAGGAGAGCAGCCACCAGCCAGGCTTCTTGGCTGGAAATGCCTCTCCTCCTCCTCTGGCTTCACAGCTACCTGCAGCTGGAGGGGCCCCGGCGTGCCTGGGCTGGGCAGCGCGCAGAGGGTACGTGTGGCAAACCCGCCTGCGGACGGGGCCTCTGGTAACGGGCTGCATCTGCTCTGTGAGATGAGCCTGGCTGCCCGCATCTGGGTTGTCCCAGCAGTGCTCCCTCATGGCAGGACCAGGAGCTCACAAGAGTATTTTTAACTTGTCTAATAAACCTTTTCCACTTTCTTGAGTGGGGAGACGTTAAAAACTTGCAGGAGCTTTCTCACTGACACAGTGAAATAACCCCCAGTGCATCTGCTTCCTCTTAAGTCAGGACAAAAGGTTTGTGTAACTTGTGCCCCTGGGTACTCATGCATCATGGCTACCAGGTGTTGTTCATGTATTTCAGTTCTTTTCAACTTTATGCTTTTTGTTTGTTTGTTTGTTTGTTTTTGTTGGGTTTTTTTTTTTTTTTTTTTCTGAACAAAGTTTGGGTCTGTATGTGCAACAAGAACTCTCTAAAAACTTTCCTTATCCCCTTACTCTTTCTGATTATCACTTACCGTTATGGTATTGGTTTTCAGCAAATCATTTACTTGTGGTATTTTGAAAATGGACATGATAAGAGAGAAACGTTGTTAGCAAATCTCATGCTTTCTCCATAACACTAAGCAAGATTGTTAGCTGTAAAAAACTCCTGGGAGGTTCCCACACAACACTTTTTGGAGACTCCTCCTACAGTGCTAAACAGACTGGTGCAGACTGAGGACTGCAATGGCAATTCAGTGGAATTTATTTCAGTGTCTACACCCGCCTCTTCTGTTCAAACAGTTGCAAGTCTGTGAAATCATTACTAGAAATTCTGTGACCGTTTCATCTAGGCTCTGCAGAAGGCTGTCATTTAATAGGGAAATTAAATGAAACTCAAAACAATGCAAAAAAAAAAAAAATCAACTTTTTGAGAAAATGGCAAAATTGAAGTGAGGTCTGGCAAGAGCCAGACATCCAATTCTGGTGAGCAGAATATGTAATAAATGACTCATGTTTATGGTGTCCCTGCTTCAGGACCCAACTCTCAAGGCCCACACCATCAAAGGGAAGATGCTCTGCAGTTCTGTACCATTATATCCCTTTCAAAAATGTGGCATCTTTTGTACATGAATTTATGTTTTATGCCATTTCAATACTTCCACATTTTACAAACATCCTCCCCCAATGCCTGGGGCAGACCTGGTGCCGGAGCAAGCTCTCAGTGCTGAGAACATAAAGGCTGCAGAGGGAGAAACAGGGTTTGGCTATGCTGATGCTGGACGTGTCCCCAGAAGTGATTTTTGCCTTTTGTGAGCAGCCCGTGGAGATTAGAGCAGCGTGAACTGCCACAATCAGCCCTCCAGAGACCTTTGCTCCCTTGAGCTGAGCTGTAACCAGCATCTGGCCCCACTATGACCTTGGTCTGCTGAAATGACATTGGAGCGAGGGACTTTTTAATTTTTTTTTCTCTATTTCTTTCTTTACTCCCCCACTTTTTCAGTGTGTTTATTACTGCTGTGGATTAGAGAGTCTCTGCTGTAAAGGAAAGGGGGCTCAAATGGCATCAGTGTTATCAATTCATCTGTAAGCAGTTCTGTAAGTGATGCCTTTCAGTAAGCTGGCCTGGAGCTAAGCAACTCTGCCATCATCAGGCACAGTTCAGCAACACAAAATATGGAGAGACATTGCAGCCACTCTGCAAGTCCTTGTAGAACTGCTGAAAGGCTGCAGCGATTCCTCACTGCAGGCACTGGGCCAGAGAGATACTGTAAGAATTTGTAGCTATCATAGAAAGTTGCCCTGTGAGAAATTTCCTACTGAGTGCTGGAATTTTTTAGATCAAAACCAGGGGGGAAAAAAAAAAAAAAGTCTGAAGGGAAAGGCTATTATTACAGTTCATGAGCTGATAGTTTATCTGAAGCCAAAAGAGATAAAGAAAAGCGTTAGAGCAAAACCACCTTAGGAAGTTTGAGCTGGCCTTGGCAAATACTTTTAAATATTTACAGGACACTTCCGCAGATCACCTACAGCTTATTGCTACAGTTCTTCTAGGGCAGGAATTAAAGCACAGGTTGGATCATCAAGGTCACTGAGCACATATCATTTTATTCCTCAGGACAAGCCAGCTAGCTGGGGAAAAAGGTAAAACTAAACCAAATCTGTACATAAAGCTTGAGTTGAACACAAAGTAATCCTTTAGACCTTGATAAATTCTCTTCTCTTAGGAGAGGTGCCCTCCCTTCAAAAGTCCTCTTGTCTGTACTCGCCATCCCACCCCAAAAGTGTGTTGAAGAGGTACGGCTGTCCTGTGCAGCAGCTTCCCCAGGACACGGAGGTGTAGCAGCACAGAGGCTCACAGCCAGCACGTACAGTCTGAAGGGGCTCTGCAGCTATAAAAATTTATGTAAAGAAAGATAAAAATCAGCTAACTAACAGGGAAGTTTGTGTTTTTCACATATTTAATAGGTTTTTTCATAGCTCATTTCTATAGAGAAACCAGGGCTCCAGTGAACGGGGTATTATGTAGGTATAAAACCTCACTGCCTTTCCACAGGGCACCCTGCTACCTGTGCACGCTCTGGTTTGAGGGGTTACAAATGGCAAAGGCTTGAGCCACAGGACTGTCAGCACAAGACACAAGAGCTGTTTCCCGTGTGCTGTAGCTGTTCCCGGAGCCCGTGTGGGCACACAGATCAGAGTGATGCTTAAGTCTTGCTATTATGGAGGCCAAATGCCTGAACAGCCAAGGGGTGTAAGGGACAAAACAGCACTGGGGGGAGGAAGGCAAATTACCCATCCCATGCACTGCCTGCACGCTGTGGTGGGGTTTTGCACAGCTGAGGTCTGAGCCCCCCCAGCATGGTGAGATGGCACAAGAACAAAAGCATGGTTGTGAGGAGCAGAGGAAGGCCTCCCTCCCCCCAGCTGTGCTGCCCAGGCCCTCCGCCTGCCCCAGCGTGTGATGAGCTCTGGGGTGACCTTGTTTTGTTGTTTGGCTCAAACCTTGAGGGCAGCGCAGCAAGCCCCTGCCATTGGGCTGGTCGCTTGTCAAGCAGCAGAGTTCACCTCCACAGTGGACTCAGTGTGAACTCCTGGGTTTTGCTGTTCATTCCCTCTCCTGTGCCCCCCTCCTGGAAACACCTCACTTGAGATGTGACTGTTCAACAACACTAGAATAAAGATATAAGAATAAACGTCACCAGAAACATCCCTGACCACCATCAGTTTTCCTTCTGCAAGCAGGTGGACTGAAGATGGAGCTTTTGCAAATTGTGTGGGATTAGAGAGAAGGATTTACGATTTAGCCTGATCATAACAAACACAAAGACAAGAAGATGAGAAAAATATAGTGATTCTCCTAAATAGTCACCTTATACTAGGTATCTAACAGCTGAATGCCTGAGGTGGGTGAGCTGGGTCCTCTCCCAAAGCTTGCTTGCGTGCAGGCAGCCCGCAGCTGCTGCTGCTGGAGGTGTTGCTGATGCTTCTCGCAGTACTTCACACATAGGTGGTGGCAGTGCAAGATATGCAAATAGGAGTGCAAGGCATCTATACATAATTCGGGATCAGATTTTCATTCCTAGTTCAGCAGCTGGATATTATTCTGAGGATGGCTTTTGTTCTTATAGAGGAATAAGTGCCTCAGTGTCATGATGGTTTTTGCAGCTGTGTGTTTGTTCTAGAACCCACCACTTTGGCCCAATATGGAAGACGTGGCCCAATTTCTCCCCTCTCATTAACATACCTCTGATCTGAAATGGCTCCCACACCTACATATTTCACTGTTGATCGCATGGTTATCATTAGCCAAGATCTGCCTCTTGTTTGTGTCCAAAAATTGGAAACCTTAATCAGCCCAAGCTCTGCTTTTTGCTCTGTCTATGGACTTCTTTCAAGGTATGTGGCAGCTAATGAAGTGAGGCAAGCCTATTTTCAGGATATCAAAACTGTTAAATAGGGGTTAGCACCTCTGTTTCAGGATTTTCTATCAGAAAAAGGTTGAAATCTGCTCCTTTGGAAAAATAATTCCCAACTGACCCAGAGCAAGACAGTAAATTCAACTAACAAAATGAGAAGGACCAGGCCTGCAACCTGACTAGTATACACAATTTCTTTTCCTCTACAAGCTTAAACATACAAAACATATAAAGCTGGAAAATGGTCCCTGTTTCACCTCTAAATCCTTCCTTCAGGTGTCTTCAGCCCTTTGGAGCCCACCTGACAATCCGAGGAGACGTTTGGTGGCAGATGCTTGCTAGGACTGCCCAAGAACAAGGAGAAAGTGGTGAGTTTCTAAACAATTTTTATCACGTAAACACATCATCACAGAGCTGGCAAGAAAAACCTGGGAAGTGTCCCAAATGGAAATGAGTTTATTTGCTACTGACATTAATCCTTCATGAAGTATGTATGATAATTAATGTTAATCCACAAAGAAATTCTTAGAAAATTATCTGTTACATCTCCAGAGTGAAAAGGTCTCAGTTGTGGCGCTGAATACCAACAGTATCCTGTTTGGTTTACCAGCGATCATCAAGTTTTACAGCAAAGGTCAAAATAAATTTTGAGTTTGTAAGCTGTGAGAAAGAAATGTATAAACACTTTAATTTATTGCCCTGTCACTGTTAATTCATTTGGTATTCACTGTGATAGCGTTGTTGTTAATGAAAGTATTTGGTAATAATGTGGATGTCATATATATTTATGCTCTAATTTCTTTCAGTGGTTCAGCAGGCAAAGCAAGTTAGAAGATTTGACATTTTAAATTTTTATAAATTTAAGAGGGAAAAGAAATCATATTTTATTTTACAGAAGTACTTAACAAATATATATCACATTTAGCTACCCCAAATGGGGACCCATCCTATTACAGAAGAATTAATACTGAACACAAGATGACAGGTGTCTGGTATCGACTGAACCAAGGGGAAAGCTTCTCATGTCTTTCAGAGGCAACAGATCAGACTCTGTTCAAAATAGATCAAAATAGATCAGCTGATGTTTGTTAAAAATAGCTAATAAATACATCTAAAGCAATCATGTCTGTATATTTTGTGTATGAACAACAGTTGAATTATAGATAGGGAAAAAAATGTTCTTCGATATCTGTTTCAAATACTGAATAAATAAGAAGAGGAACTGACAAAGAAACCATAACCTTTGCACAGTGGAGAAATTTGTGCCCATATGGAGCCTTAGCTTCGAAAAAATCTCCTAAATGTAAGTTTAGTTTGATTTTTTGCACAGTCGGGTGTTACATATACATTTCGCTGAGTCTTCGCATTAAGGTGATTTTTCCACACATTTTAAAACTAAATGGGAATACTTTGTAATCTTTTCATACATATTTTTAGCCTGTGCTCTGCAGATCATGCAATGGTGTGTCAAAACCTGGAGGTTTTGAGTAAAAATCAGCAGAACCGTTGCCACTGGTTTCAAGGCTCCATGACCGGGATTATAAACAATTCATTACTTTTGTAACCTAGTGATAACCAATTTCATAATAAAAATACAGATCAAAAGCAAATACCTGCCTTGCTCCGAAATACCAACTTGGAGCCGGAGGCCCCAGACTCTTGGGTTCGTGAAAACATGTGACACAGCGTTATCAGGCAGCTGCTGGTAGTTCATGCATTGCATCCTAAATGACTGCCTGGAAAATGTTTATATACCATCACGATCGTCCTTGTTTTATTATTATGCAATAACGCATTATTCCTCTTAAAGAGTAAATGCGGATCCGTTCTATCGATGTGAATTCACTTATCTTTTGACGATAAACATCTTGTTCCATTAATGCTTTGAGTCCAGTTCAACAGAACTGAGCAAGAGGAGGAAAATAAATGACTACAAATACACTTTAGAAACCTCTACTCCGACCTCAACCACCTTGCCTATAAATCATGGTCTGGCAGTTTCAAAACCTGGGCCAGTATTGCATAGACGGGCTAACGCAAGCACGTGTACCTGCCATCTCCAAGGCTCCCCGGACGCCAGGGAGCCCAGGCTTGCCTGGCGACAGGAGGATGGACAGTTGTTCTCTCCACAGCCCTCGCAGGCCTCTTTTCCACAGATGCCTGTTTTGTTGTGTTTTTTTTTGTTTTTTTTTTTTTTTTTCCTGTAATCGCTTCATTACAGCTTTTGTGTATTGATTAGATTTGGAAAGTGCTGCAGTGGAAAAAGGGGACTCTGGTAGAATTTGTACCGGTCTGAGAGCTGGTGTTGCCAAGGGATGTGCTACCCTCTTGCACCTGTGGAAGTGGGACTAGGTTCAAAAACACCCCCACATTTTTGAAGGGAGAGGGAGGGACAGAAAGCCTAATTTATTTATTTTTTTTGACACTTTCAGTGTTTTCTTCTGAAAAGATCACTAGCTTACCATGCAGTAATGTGTTCCATAGATTAATTTGATGCTTTGATTAGGAAAACTTAAATGATTCCTTGAAGGCTTTTACAATTTGTTGCCTCTTAATTAAGACAGAAAAGTAGCTAAATGCCTGAGCAGTGGATATATTATGAAATAATTTACTATTTTATACTTTCCCAGTTTATATTTGTAACTTGGTGTCATACCAAATCTAATACATTCCTTTCGTGATGCTCTGAATGTCTTTGGAGCCTTTAGTAAGTGTTAGATATACAAATAGAAACTGTAATATTTACAACATACTTATTTAGAAGCTTATGAAATGTCAGGCTCGTATTTAGTGCAGACGTGACTCATTGTGAAGGAGTCTTCTGTCTTCCTTTGTTACTACATGAAGAATTCATTTTGGCATCTCCCTTTAGGGTTGGTTTCTTTTAAGACATGATTGCATTAATAATATCATCTCATGGTGTAACTGATGGAATCCTTTTCACATTGGAGAAGACTTAGAGCCCAATCTAATTTGCTACTGACCCATAATCAGCAAAGCCATGGAGTAAAATATATTATTTTCTTTTCTGTATTGGTATATTAATTTTTATATTTCATACTCCTGAGGTAATTAAATGCCACTAAATGAGGAAATACTTCATGCAAATGTAATTTCAACACCAAAGATTGCATCTGTTTCCAGGGAATGGTGTTGCTTGACTAAAAAGCTGATTTCATTTTTTTTAAAAGTAAATACATGTTGAGGCCAAAATTGTTGTTTTATTGTTATTGCTTTGCTCGGATGCAGAAACTGGTTTGCAGCTGGAGAATAAAAGGACACCTTGATTTTTGCAGGTGTGTATACTGTATTTTCTGCATGGTTCAGCTTGCTGGTTCCTTATATCTATTTGCTTTAGGATTAGCAAGGTATCAAACATGTTCAGGTCCTAAAAGATTGTTATCGGTGATATTCTTTGAAGTGCTGAAAAAAAGTGAGCTCAGCTTCGGCTTTATAACTGTTTACCACAGCTAAGAAAAACACAGACACACGTGGCATGGCGTCAACAAATATTATCTAAGAAGAGGATCATTTCTCCCGAGTGATTTTCTGAAGGAAAGCTACTGTTGTTTCCAATCAGTGAACATTACTGGTGGATGGCAGCTAGCTCTGCATGGGAATTTGATGTACATTAATGACTTGATGGCTCCTGAAGGTACAAAGGGATTTGGCTGTGCGTTACATTGACAACTGCACAAATATTGTCCAGGTCGTTACCACACAGTGGCAGGAGAAGAGGACTATCAGGGGCTGCTTCCTCACTAAACAACCAGCCAAGGTCATAGGAAACGTGGGTGCAATCCTCCTCCTGTGAGAACTGAGACATGCACCCTTTCCTATCCACACCATAAAAATAATTAACTTTACGCGAAAACTTCATGCATTTAGTTCTTTTTTTTTTTTTTTTTTCCTTGGTTTGCTGATACCAGAAACTTCTCTACTAGATGAAACATAAAGCTTGCAGAGGACAGCAGCACATTTTGGATAGCAGAGCCATCATTTTTTCAGCTCTGCAGTCAAACATCCTGCTGAGGTTTCGGGGGTAGGTAGGTGTCATGTTTGCCTCCATGGAAAACCTGGTTCTAGTGTTAATTCTTAAACATTCCTTTAAACCTGAAACTTCACAAGATTCTTTGCATTTCTTCAGTCTGCTGATTTGAGTTTTCCCTTTTTAGTGATACATATGCCCAGAACTTTATGAAGCTTGTTAAATTTCCGAGCTAGGTGACTCTCTGTGATAATGAGCTCTACAGCATAATTACACAACAAGAAAAATAATCTTTTGGTCACTTATGATTTTTCTGGTCATTTTAATCATATTTAATATTGCATAATGAGTCACCTAAAACACAAGACTCTGGTCATACCCCACCTAGATGGAAGATCCCTCTTCAACTGGAAACTTCAGCAGATGTTTCTGAGGACCTGCCAGCACTGAAAAGGGAGAGGATATAGGAAGATAAAGGACTAGACTATATTTAGAAGCAAGGAGCACCTTGGAGAAGAGCCCCAGGGTGGTCCTGAGGCAGGACAGACCCTCAAGGGGTACCACCTCACCCTGCTCACCGAGGAGCAGACTCCTCTCCCAAGTAAACCCTTGAGGTAAGCAGAAAGTGAGGGCTCTGACAGCCACCCATACTCGAACCCCTGCACAAGACTGTTCAGAAACAAGAAAAGTCACCTATGAATGTTAAGCTTAAAAAAAGCAGCAGCACTGATGAGTATTTTTGGCATGAACTGAAGAATCCTTTTGTTCCAGCTACAGCCCACATGCTGATTCAGCTCAGCAGCTCTCCTCTTCTGTTCTTTTCCTTTCCCTGGGCTTTCTTAACCACCACTTCTAGGTTGCTGTTTTCTTCCAGCCTGCTTCAATTATGTTTTGTAATGACGGTTCGTAAAAATATTGGCACATACTCTCAACTGGTGGCAATACTCTGTAGGAGCATGCTATCAGTCAGGATATGACTGTGCTCTTTTTTTTTTTTCCATGTTTTTGCTATATTTATTTGATCTTGTCTACAATAAAGTCTTTTGATACTTTTGAAGTGATAGAAAGGCATCATACAGTAAATGGTAATCAGGCTTTTCAATATGAAATGGTTTGAATAAATTTGCTTTGTAGAATCTATCCAGAGCTAAATTCTGCTCTAATTTACCACCAAGCCACTGCCCAGATGTCTCAGCATTAACCGGTGAGGTTGTCCTGGGAGAGAGGAGGTGGTGTCACCCCTGCACGCTGTGCCTGTGTGTCATTTGCTGACTTGGGCTCCAGACAAACGTCAATTATAAGTAGAAATGGATCCTGCCTGAGTTCTATTCCTTTCCTGCTTGACACTCTTTATTTACTAAATGGTATCTGAAACTATATATTTTTCATACTGAATATACCAGCATTTCAAATAAAGCCAGCATCACAACTCGCTGCACACTGAGGTTTCTAATATGTTGAGTGGCTATTTATAGCTAGAGAAATTAAAAAAAAAAACAAACAAACAAAAAACAAACCAACAGATTTTTGAAAAATGTAAGGGCTCGGATAAAGATAATAGTCTGTACGTGCTGTAGAAAAGAAGAATGGAAATACTTAAGAAGAGCCAGATCTTGACCAGAATTTAAATATCCTCCCAAATGCTCAAAATTTCACTGCAACAATCATGTTTTCATTCTCAGGAGTAATTTGTTTGACCAAAGGGGAAATAGCATCTAATTAACAAGTGATGAAACACTGAAGTGATGAGGTAAGCGCTTTTCCCAGTGCAGGTTGCTCACTGTCCAGCAGAGCTTATGTTTCCCCTATGGAGATGTCCTCAACAGCTGTGTTCAACAGCATTCACAGAAAATAAGGTTTGTTCATACAGTTTATCCAGGCTGTATTTTCAAGTGACATCCAACATGCCAGAAAGTGCCGATTTACCTAACCTGGGCTGGAGACACGAGAGAGATGTTTCCTTCCTGGCAGGTGGCATCAGCCAGGGACATTCACTGCGTTTCAAGCCCCAAGTGCCAACAACGTAATGTGTTTATTTGATTTCATCATGCAAACCCGAAATCATCTTATAGAAATCTTCAGGCAGAGCAGGCTGACCTTTTTATTTTCACCTTTTTTTTTTGGCCCTACACCTGACAAATTATTTCTAAGTTACCCAGAATGGAAATTTTCTTCCTCTGTCTTCAGATATATGAAGTTCATTTATGGGTATTTTTAGTTTAGGTAACAAAAAGTGTGTACCACCACTGTAAGTAGAGCTGTGATGGTTTTATATCCTGTATTATAATTTTTCATACAGCATGCTTTGTATGATGAATAATGAGCTCTGTTCTGTGTCTCACAAGGCTTGCCTCCATATACTTTCAGCCCAAACCATTGTTGGCAGAGCATTTCCACTGAATCCTCCTCTCATCCTTTCACTCAAAAATCCTACAAAACCCCCTGACAATTCATACACACATTTCATTACCAGTGGCCATGCAACTGCATGTTGTCTCTTCTATAAGAAGATAAGTGCTAAGTAATTTCATGATCATCACCTCCAAAACCTTAAGGGATGCTGGCAGAAAGTTAAAATAAAAAGGAATAAAATGCTAAAACCTCAAATGAAAAGTCAGTAAGTTAGACTGGGAATGTTTCAGTAAAGGTGGACAGCAAGTTGCTGTGGAGGTACTGGAGATCCACTGGCCAAGTCATGAGCTCAGCTGCAGCTGCCTGAAAACCTTGGCTGTCCTAAAGTACATTTGCCAGTGAATTTCCACTGTGAATTTCCACCAATACCCATGGTGGTGTTCATGTAGCCCCACTTTGGCTGGCTGGGCTGAAGGGCTGGTCTCCAGGGGCTTCCCAGAGAGCCCCTGAGGAGAGGTGAGGAAACAAACACACCAGTCCCAATCTCAGGGGTGCGCCTTCTGAGGGGGCTTGTCTTTTCTAATTAAATATATCAGACCCCGAAGGACACTTCCCCGTAAACTAGATGAATCCCATAAAGTCAAAGCTGAGAACATTTGGTAGCTTTGTGCTAATGCTCAGGGTTTTTTTGTTATTCTTATTTTCTAGAAAAAAAGGGGTTTTTTTTTCTTCTGAAAAAAATGTTGTAAGGAACTTGAAATTCAGATTTCAACAAGCTGTGTTTCTTATCTGATGTCCTTTCACAACACTCCTGTGCCGTTGTCAGGGATGTATAACCACATCTTGAGATTCTGTTGATTCTGTGTAACTATATTAAAATATTAGAAATTACCTTGACACGCTGATGATTGTCTTTTCCACTTTAAAAGCTGGAGAAAGGGTAAAATGAACATTGGACTATTTTCTCCTTCTATTGTTTATAATAGTGACTGACCTTTCTTTGGAATGAGAGATCTAAAAATGGCATTCATTGCTGGTGACAGGATGGTGTTTGAGATGCAGGCTCTAACCCAATCAGTTACTCAGACGTAGGAGTAAGCTATTTCTATTGAACAGTGAGATGGATTAAATGCAGAGTGGCAATAAAGAGAGAGAGTAATGCAGAAGCATCACCGTTGTTTCTTGAATGTAATTTTAAGTAAATGACCTTAAACTGCTCACACGCTTGAAAATAAATCTCTGTTCTGCTTGGGTAGTGTTTCCACAGTGATTGTTATTTGCAAGCAAATATGAATGAGATAGATCCTGAATTTTCGTTTCTTTTTTTTCTATTTTCTGTCACGCTAGCAATTCTTAAAAAAAAAAAAAAAAAGTCAAAAGTTACAATAGACTTTTTCAAGAAGGAGGTATAAATAACCTGCCATGAAGCAGTGGTGGGCACGTCGACGCTGCCAGGCCTGGAGGAGGCAGTGGCGTAGGAGCTGCAGGATGCCCAGGCTGGCTGCTCCCCAGGCAGCACATTCCCCTTCCCTGGGTCATGGCCACACAAGCAGGTGTGACACACGGTGTGGGCATGGCCACAAGCTGTGTTTGTTCCCTTACTTGGGCTGCTGTAATGACTGTACCTAGCAGGGACCCCAAAACTGCATCAAACCTATGATTTTCACACCCTATTTACCCTTTTTTTCTCCTTAATTCTTCTTTTCACTGCTCTTGTGTCTTCTTTATTCCATCTCAATTTCCCTCCAAACGACCCCAAATTATATTTTCCCCATTACTCCCTGTCGTGCTACACCCATACCCAAATGTGGTCTTTCCAACACTTCCCCAGGGAACCTCAGCCTGATGTAGCACCACTGCAGTGCTCAGCTCGGTGCTGTGCCCTTGCAAGGTCACACAGCCCAAGAGGTGCCCAGTGTTCCCCTCAGCTGTCTGTTCATTTCTCACATAGCTCCCCCCTAAACCACCTCTGAAGTCCAAACATCCCTCACAGCTCTATCTGGACGGTTCATTGCTCCTCACGCTTATCTTTTGGGTCGGGTGATTCATCCCACTGCATGCCGTGGTTTCCCAGGTCCTGCCCAGCCAACCAAGCCGGGCCAGACCATGGCCCACATCCTGCCCACCACCCCAGAATATGCTTTTTCAGGAAACAATTGGGAGGGACAAAGATTCTGCTAAGATAGGGAGTAGAAAAGAAGTGTGGCTGAGTGATGGTGTTCAAATGGTGCACAGTTTCACCTGGCCCAGAGCAGAAGACCAGGTGGTGCCTCCAACTATAACCTGCATCCTCGAGGTGGAAGGAGATGACAAAAAAATCCCAATGTTGTGTGAGCCGAGATGGCAGAAAGGGGCACTGCTACAAACTTACAAGGAGGTAATTTATTTTTCTTACCTATGTGACAGTTCTTACCCATCCAGAAAGTGGAGAGCGGAGAAAGGCCAGACCGTGGGGACATCACAGTGCCCTGCCCTCAGCCCACTTTTGGAGGTTCAAGAGCATCAGCTACTGCCCAAGGGCCCGGGGTGTCTGGTGCCTGCCCCTGGCAGAGTGCTTGTGTGGCATTCAGAAGAGCTTTGCCAGGACTAGGGTTTAGAGGTCCATCAGACAGCAACGGTTCCAGACAGGCCCGTCAAAAAGATCCTCTGAATGCGTTCTCTTCAGAATTTGTGGTTTTAGGTAAAACTATGAAAAAATATAATCTGTGGAAAAATTTATTAGATATACATACAGAAGCAGGGCAGTGAAGATGGTTTGATGAATCTGGGGACTCCAATTTCTTCCCTGAAAAAAAAAAAGAGCTGGGAACAGAACTGTACTAGCTGCCCAGGTGAGGAAGTATTCAGTGAATACTTTGAGTAGAAATAATAGGCAATTCAAACTTTTGAATGTCTAAGTCAGTCTTCCATTTATGTATTTTCAGAGTGAATTATTTCAACTCTTCAAATTAAGCACAAAATATCTTGAAATCTAAAAGTTAAGACAGTTAAAAAAGGCTAAATACTATGAAAGTGGACTAAAATATTCCATTCAGGTTGAATGAAAACATGAGCTAAATCTGAAACTGTTTTAGAAACATGTATGGTCCGCTGAAAATCTGTTATTTGCACCATTTCGGTGGAAGATATCATCAAGTAAAATTAATATTACACGTGCCACTTTGTATGTTTTTACTTTTCCACAGTGTATTTAAATTATTAAGCCAATGGATAGGGTATAAGTACCTTAAAGAGAAGAGATGATTACATCTACATCCCTTTTCTGCTGGTGGCTTTAGCATGACTATTACAATAGGTTTTTAGCCCTCCCTGGGGAACCGCAGCTCTGCCACCAGTTCATTTCAGCAGAGGGGGGGTTTGGTGCGCTGGTAGGAGCTGTATTGCAGCGGCATGCGCAGAGAGCACAGGGTGGAGACCCTGTCCCTGTCCATGCCCCCGTGCCTGTCCTTTTATTTGTAAGGAATGTAGAGATGGTGCTTTTTTTTTTTTTTTTTTTTTTTTTTTTTTTTTTT